TTGTCAGATCTTTAAAGCAAATCAGGATTTCTTCAAGCTCTTTGGGTGATGTCTTCAATCAATTTAATATGTAAGAAATATTATTTTGCTTTTGATAAGACTCTGGAAATATTTGGAGTAAAGTTTATAAAGAAAAGTATGACTAAATAAATGACTAATTTGGAGAATCTAAAGCAGAATATTAAAGTAATACAAGCAGAGTATAACTGATTTAACTTGTTGATTTCAGAATTTGCTAGAGATCAGTCAATAAGCAAAAGTTCATTATCTGATAAGGATTATTAAGAAGCTCTTTAAAAATTAATTACTAAACTCAAAGTAGGATTTAGCAGCTCATAGCCAGAATCACATCTCTTATTTGCAAAAGTTACACAATTGATAGATGTTGGTTTTCAATAAATATTTACTTGCTATGAATCAGGAATCAAAAGAATAATTACCATTATTAAGCAAGATATTCATTATACTATTCTCCAAGTAAAAGCAGGATAAGATAGATAGGATCTGATACTTATAAAGCTGATAAAGAAAAAGAAGACTGATCATATATTAGAAAGAAGATAAAAGTAGAAGATAGCAGTTCTGTGTAAGCCCCAAAACTAATTAATATAGAAGTTGAAGAAATTAATTCAGAATTAATTAATATGGAAGTTGAAAAAATTAATAAAGAAGACTTGCAATCAATATTATTATCTGGAATCAGTCTGTCTTCTGAATTCATACTTCAAACATCATATCCAACAAAATACAAATCCACAGTGGTTGAAGAACAATACCTGAAATAGCTTGAAGCATACAAAGACTTCACTATATTATTCAGAGAAGTTGTTAATGAGCTGGTGAAAAAGTTATCGTAATATACTGATTATTGGATACCAAAGTGAGTTTGAAATTGATGATATAACTGATATAAGAGATCAAAAAAGATATGTGTAAATATACTTCAGAATGAATCTGAATTAAATATTATGTTAGAATCTATATAATCCAAAGCAAATTATCATTATAACTTTTATATTATCTTCTTCTTATTCAGTTAAATCTTGAAGTACTGACTAAGAATGACAATCTAAATAGATAAGAAATTTTAAATCTTGTATATATTTCAACTCATATTTGATATTCTAATAATTATAAAAAAAAATTTTTGTTAATTAAAAGAAATGCTGTTATCTATACTATATCATGAAATAGCTTTTTCTAATTTTCTTCCATATATTTGTAATATACTAATCTCTTGAGGTAAAATTTTGTAGATAATTCTTGTTTGGGTGTGTTTGGTGAATCATTTTTTATGACAAGAATTTGTAAACTGAAGAATAATCTAGTAAAAATAGGCAAAATGAATGCCAATTTCAAAGATATTTCACTTTACAGAGAATATTAGTTTTTCATAATCTTTACACTACTCTGTTCATAGAAATCTCAATAACAATTTTGTTTTAGGGAACTTTATATATTTTGGCTAAGACTTTAGACAAAAATTTACATGTATGATTAATCAATTTTTTTAAATTGATTAATATAATATACTTAATTTTTACTTGTGTGATTAATATAGATTATTATGCATGTATATACTATACATATAGTATATATAATATGTATAATACTATACTATATATACATTTATTTATCTCTACATATGACTCTGAAAATAACTCATAATTCTTAAAAATAATCTATAATTAAATAACAAAAAGTAATATCATGTAATTCTCTTCACCATTATCCAATTCATTCATTATAATAAATAAATTTGCCTTTATCGTTCTTAATAACTATAGTTACTAGAACAAAATCTTAAGATTATTGCAAAAAAGTCTTCTAAAATAAATATTGTATAATCTAAATCTTCCACAAATCTAATAAGTCTATTCATCTTGAAATTCAATAGATCAAATAGATATAATAATAAAATATTTTTTCTTTTTAGATAATTATAATTTTATAAATTTGTTGAAAAAATTATTTTGTCTTTCTTTTTTTAATCAAGAAAAAATAGATTAACTATCACCTACTATGTATATTAAAAGCTGACATAAATTTTACAAATAGAAAATCAATTAAATACTCAAAAATGATATATAATAGCTATGAACTTGAATTTTATATACTTGTTTGTATAATATAAATACTATACTTAAAATTCAAGATATTACACAAAATATACTAGAAAAACTGAATTTGAGAATATCTAATCTGAAATTATTCTGAAAATACATATATTCTGTTTTTAGAATTGCTATTCTTTTCCATCATATACCTATCATAATTTTAATATGAAAAAATTACTGCTGTGCACAGCATTTTTTATAGTAATATCAAATATATGTATGTAACTTTATAATGAATCTATTTTCTCTTATCTTAGAGATGCTATCATTTACTACTAGATAATTTTCATTTATTATATATTTTAAAGTATCATATTTATACTTAAAACTAATTCATATAATTGATAAAAGTCTTCAGATAATACTTTCAATTAATATTTTGATTATTATTCAAAAGTTAAATTTATTTTACATTATTTAAAGCAGAATTAAAATAAATAAATTTTTAATAAGATAATAATGATTTATTATTATGTATATTCTTAAAAAATATTATATTTAAAATATATGAATACTCTGTTATTTTCAAATACCTCTCAAATGCTTTTTGTTCATCTTTGATAACTTTTCTATTTTTAGTAATAGCATACAATAAATATTAATTTTCTTTTTGATAATGTATTTTCAAAAATCTATTAATTCTGAAATATAAGGTGATCTTAATTCTTATATTTTTAAAATATTACATTGTAATATCAACATCAATATTTTTTTTCTTATAATATTAATTTTTCTTACTGTTACGCTTCCAAAAATATGATTATCTGTTAAAATTCATACAAATATTTAGTATCATATATTATTTCTTTGATTCATATAGATAAAATTCATGCAAATTCAAATTTATATTGTAGTAATAATTTTACTTTATCCTTATAATATAATTACAATTAATTTGTTATTATTCTTTTTTTTGAAGCATAGATATATTCTCTTTTGTAAAAATTCTCATATTTTGTAAGTAGGAATCCGTAATTTACAATTTTATTATAGAAAGTTATATAGAAATTCAATAATATATAAAGAATGGCAAGATATGATTGAAAAACAATTTTTAACTCTTATTTAACAATACCTAAGTTTTATTTCTTTGTGTCTTAGCAAATTGATAGCATAATTTCTTTTATGCTTAACAAAATTGAAGGCTTTACTACATTGTTTATAGAAAGTTGATGAATTTATTTAACATATATTTTTCTAATAAAGTAACTCTGATTGGTAATTTTTATTAATTAAAATTATTAAAACTTACTTAACTTTATATAATTAGAGTAATTCTTAAAAAAATTATAAAAATCTGAAAAAATATATGTTAAAAAGAAATTCTAGCTTTATTTTAAGCTAAAAATAAAAAATATTTATTATAAAATTAAAAATTATGTAATAAATAAGAAATATTCATTTTACTAATTACAATTGCAAAAAATTCAAGTATTACATTATTTCTTATTGCCCTTATATATTCAATATTATATTTAATTTAATACTTTATTTTTTTGTATTTAATTCTAGTACTATTAAGAATATTACTTTTATTTATTTATATAAATAATTACTAAATTAAAAAAATTATCTTTAATATTTTCAGATATTAATAATTAAATAATAGTTAATTAATTAAGGAAAACTAATATAATTAATGCAGTATCATGTAATAATAAAAAAGAAAAATGATTACTAAAAAATTATTTTATTATGACAGAAGAAATGAATTCTGTTGATCTTTAAATATTTGTCCATTTTTTTATCATTCTTTCTTATTTAATCTGATCTTAATAAAAGAAGTTTTTCTAAGAAATTTGATTATAGAAATTAATATTATAAATAGAACTATAATCTGTATCTCTTTGCCTATAAAACTTACTGTATTCTAATAAAAAATATTCTTTGAAAAATTTTGCAAATAGTATTAGTAGTATTAATATAAATTCTCAACTCTGAGCCTAACTCTTTATTCTCACTGTAATTGAAAATGGTATCATGATATTTTTTGTATTTCATTTGTTACTAGAAAGTCATATCAATAATTACATATAAATAATAAATATCGATATTGACAAATATTTAAAGCGAAAATAAATCGTTTTCTTCATGAGACTAAATAACATTCACCATCAATGAACTTGAATTTAAAAAATTAAAAGATAGATAAAAGAAAATTTTTTATATGTATCTTCAATTAAATTACAATCATTTCCATAGAATTTAAAGCAACAATAACTAACCTCTTTAAAAAATACTGTATATTCAAACCATATATGCTTGATTATTAATTTGGCGCATTTTTGTTTCTTTCTAAGAAATCCAGATTTTTATATCTCAGTCATATAAAATTTATTTTTTGAAAAAAATAATAATATCAATTTGAATTCATGGCAATTGATTGCAACTTGAAAATCAAACATCGGCAGCCAGTAGACCACTACATGTGATATATTATTTGATTAATCGAGCCAAATAAATCAAATAATAATAAAATCATATGTTTTAAACCACTGGATGCCGAGGAACTGATCAATTTTTTGATACGATTTTACCTAAAGATAAATTAATAGTTTCATTTTTTTTAGTGTCTAAAGATTATATCATGTGATTTACTATAATTTGATTCGTCTATTCAAAGATGAATCAAATGATAGCGAAGCGGTGACTTTCTTCCACCGAGTATATATAAATGTTCATGTAAATATATAATAAATTTTATTATAATTTAAATTAAAAATATAATCACATTAATGATTTCATCATTTTTTTATTGATAACATTGTAAAATGGACTAATCGACTTAAAATGTATAATAAAAAATATAAGTTTTCAAGAATTCATACATGCATTTCTGTTATCTAAAAACAAAAAGCAAAATTAGAAATTAAATTTTAGTATTTACATAAAACGCCTAACAATTAGAATTTTGAGCTTTTTATGAATGTTAACCTTTAGCGAGCTAACGAGAAAATTGACCAATGTGGAGCTCACGTGGCTAATCCCACAAATCCGCAACACGGAGGCCGTGCCCATTCATCATACTCGTAAGCGTAAGGCGGGCATCTACATAGAGGGTATGATGGTGGGTATGATGGCGGGAAGGGCATTGTGGCAGACAAAGAGAAGAAACAGGTTGTCATGATCAAAACGATTCCAATAGATTTTTTGAATGTAATCATTTTCCTTTATAATTTCGAATTTTAATTTGTCAATTCGAAAAGTGAAGAGAATATATTTGTGAGTACTTCCTTTATATAAGTTTTGTCTGAAACTTATTGTTTGAATATATTAACATACATTTGTGAAAATCATATTATAAAGAATCATATTAATAATTCATAGAATTCATAGAAAAATACAATGTAAACATGACAATGAATTATAATTCATAGAGCAATATGAAGAAAACCGGAATCAGGAAGACACACAACCTTCGCCCTTAAAAAGCAGATATAAAATTCAACATTGAGATAGTGATGCAAGCCGACTGGTTTTTTTTCGGCTGAGCCCTTAAGCCGCCAATATGAGCCGCCGTGTGGATTTTAAGGCTCAGCCATTTTATTAATTTCCAAATTGGGAAATGTTATTCGGATAATAGTGCGATTCGAACTCACGTTCACTTGCAGATTTGGCCAATCATCATTGAACACGATATTTAATATCGATTTTTTCACGACATTTTCTGTGGGTTTTTGACGAGTAGCAATGGAAGACGAGGGTGGTAGTAGCGTCCAAGAACCCAAACAATACAGGTTCCTTGTGTAAAAGGAGAAACAAGTTCATGGCAAGCCCGGAAATAGTCGATAATGCTAGTGAGACTGGAATTGAAACGGTCCAAAATGCACTGGATGAAGTAATGTTTGAATTAAAATGGTTCAAAATGCACTGGATGAAGTAACGTTTGAATTAAAATGGTCCAAAATGCATTGGATGAAGTAACATTTGAATTAAAATGGTCCAAAATGCACTGGATGAAGTAATGTTTGAATTAAAATGGTTCAAAATGCACTGGATGAAGTAATGTTTGAATTAAAATGGTCCAAAATGCACTGAATGAAGTAATGTTTGAATTAAAAATGGTCCAAAATGCACTGGATGAAGTAATATTTGAATTAAAATGGTTCAAAATGCACTGAATGAAGTAACATTTGAATTAAAATGGTTCAAAATGCACTGAATGAAGTAATGTTTGAATTAAAATGGTTCAAAATGCACTGGATGAAGTAACATTTGAATTAAAATGGTCCAAAATGCATTGAATGAAGTAATATTTGAATTAAAATGGTTCAAAATGCACTAGATGAAGTAATATTTGAATTAAAATAATCCAAAATGCACTGGATGAAGTAATGTTTGAATTAAAATAATTCAAAATGCACTAGATGAAGTAATATTTGAATTAAAATGGTTCAAAATGCACTAGATGAAGTAATATTTGAATTAAAATAATCCAAAATGCACTGAATGAAGTAATATTTGAATTAAAATAATTTAAAATATACTGAATGAAGTAATATTTGAATTAAAATAGTTCAAAATATACTAGATAAAATAATGTTTAAAGAAACTAATGACTTTTCTCTCATTAACTCTACTCAAATACCAGCTGATACTTTTTACTTTTTCAGATATAAGTAATATAAAACTTTCATCAGACAAGATCTTAGAAAAATGAAAAGCAATAATAAACACAACTTTATTACAAATTTTTCATATATAATAAACACAAAAGAAATAGAAATAAGATAGTAGTTGGTGTTGGTAGTTTTTTAAGAAAAATGATGAACTTGAAAAGTTTTTATGTTTCATTCAGATAGAAAAGCATGATATAATACAGATATATGAAAAAGCATATTCACTTTCAATAATAACAGATAATCTTAGAAGTTATCTTTGCTCTGAACATAAACTTTGGAAAGATATGAATACTTTATTAGTATTTCTTTTAGTTATAACTAATAAATCACAAACTATTCTTTAATAAATATATATCCAAAAACTTCCTTTATTATATACAAAAAAAGATAGAATAACTTATTAATTTATTGCATGACTAGTAAATAATCTCCAATCATTTAACATACTTATCAATATCAAATTTTGAGAACTTATAAATAAAATTGATAAATATATTGAGATTCTCTATATTAATATTATCAAAAATACTATGATTTAATTAGTAAATACTACAGAAGCTCAGCTTAAAACTCTTTTAAATTTAATAATAATTTTCTTTTGATTTATAACAGATCTTTGGACTCAAATTAGTTAATTTATTTTATTTTAATAAATTATATTAAGATTATATTTATAAATATATTTTTTATAGATTCATATATCTTATATTGGTATAACTATTCATTGAATTATATCTAATTTTCAATTTTATTAAGTTCTTTTGACAATTGAATTATTTTCTTATTCTTATACAAGTGATTATATTGAAGATTTTCTTCAAATTATTTTTGCAAAGTGGAATATATCTGATTAATTACTAGGTGAAATAACTAATAATATAAGTAATATAAAAATAGTAATACGTTAACTTAGAGTACTTCATTTAGACTGTACAATATATATACTTCAATTAGTAATTAAAGATGATCTCAAGCTTGTCAAAGATCTAATCAAAAATATAACTTATATTTGACAAATCATGATAAGTATAAAGTAAAATTTCATAATATTCAAGCTCAGCTAATTGAAAACTAAATAAGTGATCAAAAATAAATTCTTGATATTCTTAGTTTAGATACTAAAATCAGATGAAATGATATTTTTTTACTTATTAAATAACTTCTTACTTTACATCTTGCAATTGAACATCTTATAATTCAACTTCAACAAGATTCTAACAGACAAATTTATTATGATGGATAATTTTTAGTCAATATTATTTTATTTAATAATAAATAACTTATCTTGAAAGAGCTAGCTAATCTTCTTATTCTCTTTGTATCAGCAACTATATTGATTAGTAATGAATATTTAACTTTATCTATGATATATCTAATAATAAATGCTCTTTTAGAGTATTTATATAAGCAAAATCTTGTTATTATAACTAAATCTGTCAAATAAACATGAAAGATAATTGAAGATTCTCTTTTAAAATGATGGCAATATCCTAAAGAAATTGTCTGACTTGTCTTAATTCTTGATTCATGATTTAAAAATTTTTCTTTTGGATCTGAAAATAACTATAATATGATGCATCAAATTCTTTATGAAAAATTAAATATGAAATTTTCTAATTCAATCACTAATATTATTATATCATTATAATAACATACATCAAAGCTAACTGTATTTTTTAAAGATAAAAATACAACAACCATCAAAAATTCTATTGATATTGAATTATAATTATATTATTCACTTCCTGAAATGCCAAAATATGATATTACAAGTGATGAATATCAACAAGAAAATCCACTTATTTGGTGGAAAAAATATGCAAGTACTCTACCTATATTATCAAAAATAACACACATATATATTGGAATTCCTGCTATATCAGTACCTGCTGAATGACTTTTTTCAGATGCTGGAAATATAATTACAGATAAATGAAATAAATTAAATTCAAATATTATTCATGATTTCTTATTTTTGAAACATAATATTGATATAATTAAGTATAATATTGAAAATTAAGATTAAATAAGAAATTACAAAACTAAATAATAATTAATTACTATTAAATTTTGATAATTTCCTTTTTTGAAATTATATTGGCTAAGCTGACTCAGCTTTAAAAAAAATAAAAGCTTAGTCAGCTGAAATTTTTTTTGATAGCTTGCATCACTACGCGTAACTTCTGCTATATAGTAGTTACTGACAAATAGCTGTATTAAAACTAGAAAATCAAGACCAATCTGTATTACATTTGTAGGAGAATGGTATTTGTGATGCCAAAAAATACATGCACAGACAAAAATTAGTTTCTTGACTATTTATAATAATAAAATGATTAATAAACTTAAACAGATAGGAAAGATAATGGCTATTGTGTCATGCACTTTAGGCCAGTATGTATGATAGTGTCAATCAGAATTATGGCAATAAAGTAACAAAAAATTACGTAAATGTATTATATATAATAATTGCATAACATTTGCAGTTAGTAGGATATCAAAAAAGCCTACCTAAAGCTATGCTAATATTAACAGATATGCATAAAAAAAAGTGTATAGGTGGGCCAACCAGCACCTTAATGATGATTGGTAATGGACTTTATTTTCTGATGAGACTGCCTTTCAGCTCTTCAGAAACATAATTGAACATTGACACAAAGTCAAAAAGCCAATTCACCCAATACCAAAAGACTGCTCAAAAATTTTTGCGTGAAGGGATTTTGTGCACAAGAAAAAATATACCTTTTTTGTTTTTAATAAATTATAGATGTTCAATTTTACGTTGAAATACTTGACAATCACATTCCTAAGATTAATGAGATGTTAGGTAGTGAATGGTATTTTCAGCAAGACAATAACCCAAAGTATTTCTTGCAGAAAATATGTGACAAGTTATAGACTGGCCATCTAACAGTCCTGACTTAAACCTAATAGAAAATTTATGGAGTATTGTCAAGAAAAATATATAAAGGCAACCCCGTTATAATGAAGATATCTGGTCTAGCATTTTCCTTCAGTATAATGGGGTCTTTGGAATAATGGGGCATCTGTATTAACTGAAGGTTATATTACTATATCTATTTCTTCGGATTAGAGTGAAAATACTAAATAAATGCATATATAATCAGAAAAAATAGTTTACTTTATTAAAATCATTCAAATGGTTGTCAAAAAACTACTAATTTTCATTTGTACTTTTGAATTGATAATTTTCCTATATAAATTCTTTTTTATATTACTTAAGTCGTGTAAAAAATTCATGCTAATATCTAAGTTACCTTCCTCTTGCATAATAAATAACATTAACTTGTCAATTGATTTGGTGGCTTTAGTGATTGTTATTTTGGACTTGTTTGAGTTTGTATCCTTCTCAACAGCTTCTTTGCCTTGGACTAAGGCAAGAATTTCATCATCATCCAAAATATCTGCGCTTTGTATTATAGAATCGATAGTGATATACTCACTTGCTGAAAATGGATCATCTGGTGCAAGCTGATCAATTAGGTTTTGAACAATATTGCAGTCATACTCATTATCTGATGGTAAATTGAAAAAATTATCGATATTATCTATAGCTGGATTTGCTGGTAATATACCTGTTTTTGTCCAGCATAACATAATTGAATCTGTTTGAACACATTTCCAGACTTCTTCTATGAAGCGAATTGCATCCAAGATTATAAGATCAGATACAGGAATGTTCAACTCAATAAATGTATCATAAGTATTTATTCTGTTTTCACAAAGCAGTTACTGATATTTTGCCTAATAAAAAATAGTTAGCATATCAATATGAAATTTAATAACAGAATTGCTTACTTTAAATGAATGTATGATTCCTATATCACATGGTTGCAGATGAGCCATTGTATTTTTTGGAAGATGGTGCAATGTAATATTGGAATATGTAACCCCTTCTTTGACCACATGTACAGTGACATTGTCCAATAAGAGCAAAATTTAGCGTTGTTCTTTTTGTATATCTTCATTCAGCTTGGTAAGCCAATGGCTAAAAATCCCTGACTGTATCCATGCACTCAAGTTCCAATAATAATAAACAGGTAGATTTTTATGATCAATATTTCACATACATCTTGGATTTCTATATTGTGGATAAAAACTGGTGTAAGCTTTCAGATTCCTGTCATATTACAGGTAAGTAGGATTGTAACATAATCTTTAGATTTTTTTGTTCCAGAAACTGGATGATGAGCAAGTGTTTTTGAGGGTTCCAATTTCCAATAGAGTGCCATTTCATCACAATTAAAAATGTTTTCCAAATCCCATGTGGACAAAAGATTGTGAAGGTTGTAATAGTGTTGTGGCAGATCTTCTAAAGAAGCTGAGTTTGCCTCTCCATATCAAATATATTCACAAACATTGTAATGCTTTTTAAAGTGGTCAAACCATCCATGTGAGCCTTTGAAATTCTTGATTTCAAGATATTCAGCAAAGATAGTAGCTTTTGTGACAATAATATGTCCAGACAATGTTTGGTTATCGCGTGTGGTTTAATTAATCTAAATAACTAATACTTATTTGATTATTGGAAATTTTGATGATTTTTCACAGTACAAGGATGTAGTGTAATCATTCAGTTCTAATGCCAAAAAGTATTATCTCTTTTTTAAGATATCGGATATTATTGCTTCACCCATACCATATTGCAAAGCCAGTTGGTTGTTCTTTATGTTTGGATTTGTATTTTTTGCATGACATATCTCAATTTTTTGACTAATAGTCAAACATATTTGTTTTTTTTTAATATCTGATTTATCTTTTGCTTCGACAGATATTTTTGTCAAAGGACTAGCAAAAACACTTTGATTCTCTCGTGGTCACTTTGAAGAAGCAGAATGGTCACTATCACAATCAGTCTCTATCTATGAACATAAATATATTACGCATATTTATAATACTATATTTTTATTGGTCAAAAAAATTTCTTTCTTTGGTTAACAAAAGAGGATCTTCAGATAATTCAGTTAAATTGAAAACTTCAGTTTAGCAGGGTAAATTTGTTACTACTGTTCTAACAAAAATCTTTGGATACAGTTAACAAAGATTTTTATATTAAAATTCGGTTAACTGAGGTAAATTCTATATGATTGAAAGTGGATTTTAAAAAATCTTCGTTATAATGAGATATTTGGTATAACAGGATTTGTTATAATGGGATTGCCTTTGTAGAAAGGTGTATGCCAAAAAATCTCACTGAATTAGAGTGATTTATAGTAGATGAATGAAATAATATTCCAAATCAGATTCTAATTAATTTAGTTTAGTCAATAAAATAACTGTATAAGCTTATAATAGAAAGAAATGGTGAACGTACTTCCTATTAAATTTTATATGAATAAAAGCTTAACTTTTGAGGTTTTAAATAAGCTATAATATGTGACATTCCATACAGTTATTATGATGTAATAACTATTTAAAAAATTCCACTTTTTTTTGTGACATACTGTATATTGTATTGTTGAAAACAGTATTGGCCTATGACCTATTATGATCTTTATGATCTATATGACCAGTCATAGGTCATAAGATCATAAAAATAGTCATATGATCTATGATCTTGATCATAATTCTATCTAATAGAAATTACGAAATAATTGATTAATAGAAAATTATGATATAATTAACTAATAGAAAATTATAACATGATTGGTCAATAGAAATTATGCAAAAAAAATTAGCCTGAGTGGGTTTTTGAAGAAATAAAAGAAAGCTTTTTATGAAGATTATGAATATCTTACAATACTATCACTATAGTTATGTTACTAAAAAAGTTTTTATTTGGTGAAGAATAAATGGAGATCTGAATTTAACCTCTTTACAGACTATTAATGACAATAGTAAGTTTGCTCAATCTTAGAGTGATGTTTGCTTAGAATTATTTGTATAAAGAAGATTTATCGATTTTATATAATACTGTAGACTTTTTGCTGAACTTTATGGTGATCAAGTCAGGTGCTTATTCAATTTTTTCTATGTTTTCATTTAGTGAGGTGATACGTAAGAACAGTCTAGATATATAGTTGCTATTTCATGGGTTAGTCTAGATCACTATGAAAATAATAAAGACTTTCAATTTAATCAATTTATTCACAATTATTCTATTGTTATAGAAATATTAAGATAGTCTCTTGTTGAATCTATTCTGTGAGAAATTATTAGATGAAAAGTTCAAATAATTACAAAGTCAGGAAAGTATAATGAAACTGCACAAAAATAATACTAATCAGAAAAGGTCATAAGCAAGTATTTTACATAAATTATTTTCTAATTCCATTTTATTAGTATTGAAGAATTACTAAATCTGATTCCAATACCTATGATATCAAATATCTCTCCTTATCTTGTGCTTTATCATAATGTTATTATAGTAAACTCTGAATCAAAATATATCAGTGTTTCTAAAGAAGAAATAAAAAGTGAATCTAAAGACCATTTGGCTCTTTCATCATCAGCAGGATATTTTTCTTGTCCTTCTAAACTAAAATCTGTATCCTAATCACTTGATAATAAAATTTCATCTTTCTGATTTTCAAATTGATTCTCACAATTTCCAAACTCTATCCACTCTTGAATTAGATTTTCTCATCTTTGTTCTTCTTCTGTAACCAAATCTTCATTTTCTTCAGAGTTTTGATTTATTTGATCATAAGATCCGGCACTTGTTCTCTCTCCAAAATTATCTTCATTATCATCACTCACTTGATAATTGAAATCAGTGGTAATTGATTCATGTTCTATAGTTTCGTCTGATAGTATAGGTATCGCAATATGTAATCAGCAAATTTAATTATCATATTCTTTTATATTTTTTATTTTGCGAGAACAAAGGATATCACTCTGAATTTGACTCATTGTCAAGACTTTTTTTTGCTGCAATATTAATTACAATAAATGTAAATATAAAATAAACAAAAATAAATTATTGATAATTGATAAATAAATCTGCAACTGATTTCACTGGTTAGTGTGTAATAACCCCATACAAGTTCACAAATGTTCTACAGATGTAGAGTTAATGCAGATATCATAAACATGAATTGCTGCTCGTGTTAATTCTGAACTGACTCCTTCAGTTGATTCCCAAAAATCTACCAAATTTCCATTGAATTGCATAAATGATTTGCTATCATATGGATCAATTCCTCACTTATACTGTATTAATTCAGCTAAAATAGAAACAGATTTAGAATTAAATCATACTTCATAATAATACTTAAGCCATTGTCCAATATGAGTCCATGTTAGATTGGCAATTGTATTATTGAATTTAGTGAGTTTGTATTGAGAATGTAGTGCAAAAGAAAAAAGCATTAATGATTATTCCCATTCTTTCTAACATGATCCAATGCGCATTATCATTCTTGATTCAAATTCAACATCTTGATGAGATTTGAATATCTTCATCATGTACTTAAAATAATGAACAACTTCATATAACTGGGCTGTATCTTTTTATAACTTATTCAAAAAACCACAAAGAGGATACAAAAGTTCTTGTAGATTAAATAATGTTATCCAAAATTGAGCATTATTTATGATATCTGCAATGTCATCTGGAAGTTTTCAAGTACTATTGCATAGTATTGATTGATTATTAGCTAATATAGATGAGATACTATCTGTTTGAATTACATTGGTATAATTGTTATTAAACTTAGCCAAAAGAAACTAATAAATAAAAATAATAGATTAAAAATTGGTTTGACATATTAAATAATTAGATTGTTTAATAATAAAAATTAAATAATATTACCTTGAGAGCAGATTTTGACTTTAATATAGAATGAAAACAAAAATAATATGAATTCCATCTTGTATCTCCAGGTGTAATTAATGTAATCATCTTGTTATAAATTCGCATTTGTTCATCTCTAAGATTTCCCATAAAAAAAACTGATTTGTGAAAAAAACTGACTATTTGTATTACTTCTTTAGAGATTTTTTGATATAGCATTGATTCTTTGAAGATTTCATCAAATATCAAATTTGTTTGATAGACCATACAGGGTAAAAAAATCCTAGAAGAATATTTTCTTCACAATTGTTGACTACAAAAATTAAAGTGTAAATAAAAAAAAAATAAAAAAAATATAAAACAATAAAAAAATTACCATGCTGCTGCATATTCATCAGCTGAATCTGAAACAAATACCTTGATATTTATTTGTTTTTCTTTAGCTTTAGTCATTAATTGTTCAATATGATTAATTACATTTTGTATTTGTGATCTTTCTGAATTGATATCATGTGCACCCCATATTAAAGATTATCCACTTGTAGTTATAAAAACTACACCCCAAATATGTTCTTGTTTTACATTAGTCCAACCATCAAATATTGCAGTTACTTCATCCATATCATTTTTAGCAACTTTAATTATATTATCTTGCAATGATTATGCACTTTTCATTAACACTTTACCACCAATGATTTTGCACTTTGGTAATTTAAGTCCTGATGCCAAAAATTCAAATACAGCAATAGTATCTTCATTTTCGACAAATATAAAAGGCAGAGTATTAGAAACAATCATTCTTAATAGCAATTGTTCAAACTGCATTTGGTCATTAGCTAAAAGAGATCAGCAAAAAAAATTCGTAATTGCTATTTGTCAGCTAGACAACTGTGTTGAGTTTGTTGAACTAACTAGTGAATTTACTGATAGTATAGAATTTGTTTGAATTGATGCTTCATCATTACTACTATTAGATTTTTCGTCTATATTAAATAATTTAAAATTATTAAATATGATAATACAAATATAATACACTTAAAATTTAACATACCATCTGTTTCATTATTATTTTTTTTTCATTTTTTTCTTTTATCTTCTGGTATTGATAAAACCAAAATTCTTTATACTTCTTCTTCTGTATTAGCTTCATGAAAAGCTTTACATTTTGATAAATGATTATGACACAGACAAGCTCTGTTAACAGTGTAACATTCTGGTTTTAATTAAGCTGCTCCTAATCCACCATATTTGCTTATATACCAGTTGCATATTGCAAGAGTATTTGTAAGGTTATTTGAATTTTTTATTAAAGTAAAAAATCTTCTAAAGTTATGGGGAGACATAATAAAATGAAATGAAAAAATTAAAAAAATTTTAAATTTTGATTGGATAGAATTTATGACCTATGACATTTAATCATATGACCTTGGTCATATCGATCATATGACCTAGAGTCATAATTTTATGACCTTATGATCTTATGACCTAGGTCATATGCTCATATGACCAAGGTCATATTGCAAATATGTTATGACTTAGATCATAGGCCAACACTGGTTGAAAAAGGGCCAAAAAGGTCATTTTTCTTTATTATATACGTCAAATTTAAAGAAATATTAAGGCAGTTTACAAAGTATCTATGGTAGTTATGGATATGATTAACCTTACTAGATAGATGGTAGTTTACATGAAAATATTTGAAGTATTCGATTTTATTACAACAAGCAAAAAAACACAGACTATTTATGCTATGCATGAAAGCAATAAAATTTATATACAGGATTACCCGTATATGAAAAACAATCATTGTAATAGTTCCACCGAATAAAAAAGCAATAAGTTTCCTGGAGATAGGTTGCAGTTGTGGTTGCTCAAAAATAATTCCGAGAAAAGGTTTGCCGAATTACGTGAAGCGTTTCGAGCTCTCTCTAGACCCGACAAGACATATTTGTAATGGCTCAGCTAAAAGCGATGAACGGTGGGGAGATAACTACCAGCCGACGTCTTAAAAAGAAAACGCGTACTAATAAGCGAACGTTTTACTTCTGAGCTCGCAATACGCCCCTCTGTCAGAAAACGTATCTAAATATGTTGGGAATTGGCCGTACGCATTTCGAAAATGTCAGAAATCATCTGACAACGAATGGTATAATACCACGCGTTCATGGTAACATAAAACATGGAAAAAACCAAAATAACCATTGATATAACCGTTGCTACTACTGTGAAAAATTTTCTTGAAAACTATGCTGAAATACATGGACTACCAAGTCCCGGTAGAAATGTTAACCGAATTACTCAATCGCTTACACTTTTACCAGCCGAAACAAGTTACAAATCGGTTTATCGTGATTTCATTGCAGGTCTTGAAAACGATAGCACGTTGAAATTGTTAAAATATGATGCGTTTCGCAAGTTATGGCACCAACTAACGCCTTATGTTCAAATCATGAGTCCACGAACGGATTTATGCGACACGTGCCAACATTTTCGGAACGGCTTACAGTATAATGCTCGTAAGGAAGAAGAAGCGAAAGATTTATTAAAAAGGTACAAGGAACATTTAGTTAAAGCTAAGTTAGAGAGAAATTATTACGAAATTAGCAGAACAACAGAGAAAATTGGTAGACGAGCATTTTATAGCGAGAGGTAAAAGCTGATTATTGTAGCATTGACGCGACTGCGCATTACAGTTACGATTGGGCACAAAACGTTCACGTGCCCCATTCCGATCAACAGGTAAGTTATCTTAGTCCACGTAAAGTGCATTTATTTGGTATCCAAGATGAAGCAGTACGCGAACAAATTAATTACATTCTTG